GAAGGAAGAAAGAAAGCAAGCAAGCAAGCAAGCAAGCAAGCAAGCAAGCAAGCAAGCAAGCAAGCAATTATTTGTTTCCGAAAAACAAAACTCTTTTAGGTAGGGACCCATTCACATTCTCCTCTCTCCCCTGTTGCACAGTGTATTCATTGTTGACAGAATGATGATTTGGTGAACCCAGAAAACAGAGAGAAGAGAAAAGGGCCCGGTGGCTTTCTTCACACTGCTATTCATGATGGGGCCTTGGCTTTCATCCTTCCAAAAGTCTTTGCACAGAGACACTCTCGTTCCCTGAAAAACTGGTGAAAGTGCCATTGTTCTGATGGTCCTAGCAGACATTTCATGTAACAGTACACCCTTGCTGCACCTGTTAATTACCATCCCCTTGGCAGAGGCAAATTTGCAGGCTTCTAGCAAGAACTGGGGAACGAAGCACCCTTCACAGCATCCAGAGTTTTGCAGCTCAGAATGCAGAGATACAGCCCAGGCTGGCTCAGACAAACAAGCTGCTTGGAGCCTGCTTTTCTGAATATGGTTGTGGGCTTTTCCACACTACAGCCTTAAGATGCTTCACTCCCAAGCATAAACTGGCTGGAAACAAAGCCAGCTTAAGATATCCTTTTCTGCATGTCATCCCTTCTTCTGGTTTGGCCATGGGGATCTCCTAGTCTTCAATCCAGACCATGTTTACCATGGCTTCTGCCTGGTGGATTCCCTTGCTTCTTTACCACCCTCACCCATGCCAGGAAATCTGGCACCAACTGTTTTCCTTTCCATGAGCAGTACTTTGAGATCATTTCTCCTCCATTGACCCCCGCCCACCATACTTAATACCTTCCCATCCAGTGCACCTGCCGATGGATGGGTAAAAATAACAACACAGACCCACTATTTGGCCCTTCTTCCTGTCACTTGGGTGGACAGAGGAAAGGTCTTGATTGATTTGGATCTTGCTGCAAATAGTTCAGCTCCTGGCAGAACTCTAGTCCATTTCACCTGATTAAAAAAGAGAGAAGGAGAAAGAGATGGGGTGGTGGTGGTGGTGGTGTCCACCTTTCACTGTTCCTCAGTGAAAATGGTTTTAAAAAACCACTGGTGGAAGGCAGCAACCCACACTCCTACCACAGAGCACAGTATCCAATTTGCCTACATGAAATGAAGCACAGCAGGACACCTGCTGTTTGTGCTACCACAAATCCAGAAACACTCCTTTTGACACATAGCAGAAAAAGATGGTCAGAGGTTGCCTTTCGAGTGGGTGGACAAATAGAGGACATAATGTGCACTCCTGCCATCAAGGAAAGGTCTGTGGCCCATACGCCCACGGGGAGGACCTCACAATGCAGATCAGCCTTGTGATTGGCAGCTTCTGTCCGGAGATTACAGCTCCATCTTTTCTCTTTTGCAAAA